ACTTATTGTAATTTTTTATTTTCCTTTACCTTATATCATTTTTAAAAAGTTTATAAGGTAACTAATAGGGATCAATTCCTTATGAAGCTTAGACTAGAATTTGAAGATGTACGAGCTACTCTTCTAAATCAGAATCCACTCCCTTCTTTAGATGTTTGTGTTGAAGAATTGCTTCAAGAGGAACAATGTTTCCTCACTCAAGCTACCATGTCTTGTGACTCTTCTATTTTAGAAGTTATTGTTGTTGTCTATTTTGCTCTGATAAAAGGCAAATGTCGTGATACATGACAGGTTCAATGTTATTCATACAAACAGTTCAGTCATATTACTCGTCATTGCACCAAGAAGCTATGCAATTATTGTAAGCAACATGGTTATATCATCACATATTGTCATACTAGACTAGCATGACACCAGGTGTAAGCTTTGCATAGGGCTAGTTCTATAGCTGACCAACCTACTTTTGTCTCACCCCCTGCTAGTGCTTTAACTCCAAAAAGGTACAACAAATGGTACTCTTTGCATTATCTGCCTTACGCATCTAGGGTAAGTCCAATGATATATCTTCACCATGATTTGTTGATTCTGGGAGTGTCCAATCATATGACTGGTATCTCTGACCATTTGAACAATGTTCATTCTTATTATGGCACTCACAACATTCAAATTACTGATGGTAATAATCTTTTTTGTAATGTTGTTGGTGATATCACTCCTTCCTTTCAAGATGCATTTTTGTTCCTTGGACGTGCCTCAAATTTAATTTCAGTTGGACAATTGATGGATAACAAATGTAATGTTAATTTCTCTTGAGCTTGTGTTATGTAGGATTAGATGTTAGGGAAGGTGATCTCGAAGGGGCCTAAATTGGGCAGATTATTTCTGCTTCAGTTTACTATACCTAGACCTTTATGCTAAATTGATAAATTTTTTATGCTAAATTGTAAGAAATAATAAGTAAATTAATGCAAAATTCTTATCAAATAAGGGTCAAACATATAAAAATAAGATAAAAATATTCCAAAATATGCACTTATCACAATCTCAAAGGCAAAAAATTACTACTTACATTTATTTAAGGACATCAATAATTTCTTTATTACAATACTTCACAAAATAAATGGATTTGGGGAGACCAGTCATCACTCGCATTGCTATGTCTTACCTTGCTTTGAGATGCCTTCAAGAGTATAAGGGAGCATTGGTTATAATGTTTACATCTAACTCATGGGAGCTGGTTAGTTTTCTATATTAACAAATTAGAAGTTTATTGAAAATGTGATTATGGATAAATAATTTTAGAAAGGCGTTGTTGTTTACTTAAAGGGTGCATATCCTCTTATCAGATCTCTACATTTGGTTAATTTAGATAAGATACTAGTTATGAGATTCATTTATAAGGAAATGGATTGATCTAAAAAGAAGATAGCAAAGGCTGTCAATAATAGTAAACGAAGAAAAATAAATTATAAAGTTGAATTAAAAAAATTTCTTATCTTTGTATGAAAATTAATTTAATTTGTTCATTTATTAGTTATTCATCTCTATAGAATGTCATTGATGAAAGATGGGACAAACAACATCATAGGCCATTGCATGTTGCAACCTATTACCTCAACCTTTTTTACAATAGAGTCCTAGTTTTAAAGTTAATTTTGAAGTTAAATACGAATTATGTGATTGTATAGAAAACATGATGACATGACGAAAAAATTACTAAGATTTTAAGGTAAAAAAGAATTATTATTTTTTTTGCAATACAACAACCCTAAATGCACTTAAAACACCAACACAATAGTGGGAATCTTATGGAGATTAACATCCAAAGCTTCAAAGATGTGTTATTCATATATTAAGCTTGACATTTAGCTCCTAATATGAGCATAATTGTAGTGTTTTTAAGTTGGTAAAATTTTAAAACTATAAGAAATTGTATTTCATTCTTTACCTATTACTTGCACTTGAAAATCAATTACATTTATATTTTTCAGGTCCACACAAAGAGATAGAATAGTTGGAAATAACAAACTATGAATGATGTTGTTTATGTGATGGCTAACTCAAAATTGGCAAAGAAAAAGTAATGTGATCCTTGAAGCTTCCTTCAAGAATGACCAAAGGCGGATCGTCCAAGAGATGTTTCAACCATGGTTTTGAGCAAATGTATGGAGAGTTTCATGAATCCAACAACAAATAAAGAAGGAAAAACAAGTGGAAAGCAAGGAAATGGAATTATAATGCAGCACGTTACTCCAAAGGATTGGAGATAAGCACCAATGCCCTCACCACATGGAAGAATCCATGATAAGAGTATGGTTCTAAAATTTTCAATGAGAAAATTCAGAGAAAACTCACTCACTCAAGAGGAGACTATGCTGAAAAATGCATCAAATGAATCAAAAATTTGAAAATTACAAAGGAGCTTAGCCTATATATAGGCAAGCTATCTCAAAGCCCAAAATGATCTCTAATGGGCCTCAAAACAAAGAAAAGAAAGGGGATGGAGATTTGGACTGAATACATGCCTAGAAACATAGCTCAATACAAGCCTAAACAAAAATAGAAAAGACTCCACTCCAAAGCCCATGGCCAAACTACAAGGCCCAAAACAAACTATTCTAGATATGAACAAAGCTAGTACAAAAAGTGTATAGATGTGTGATCCTCTGGCTCCTAGGATCACATCATCCCCTCCTTCTTGGAAAGAATTCAACCACGAATTTGAAGCGTCCTTAAGCTACTCATGCAAGCCATCAAGTTTGCCTACAAAGCAAAGGATACAAAAGAAGTCTCAGAAAATGTGAAGGATAGGGATCAAGTGCTTATTTATGGAAAGAACCCACCTGGATCAAAGATTAGCCTCTTGACCCTTATCATTTTATTACAATAGTTCACATAAAAATTAATGAGATATTCCCATAAGAAAGAACATACAAAACTATGAAAAACATGGCTATCGGTGCATGAAGTGTAATGTCTTAACAAAGTTGAACTATAAGAAATGTGAGGTACATGTATTCTAATTTGTGGTATGAACTCATCATTATGCAGAAGATCATGTGTTAATATGATTGAATTATTACCTAATGAGAAAACACTTGACCTATTGCTTATCATGCCCGATGAATTGGACCTTACATGTAGCATGTAATTACTAAATGGAAATCGAAGCGAGTTCATATAAACATATGTGTTCCTAAATGCCTAGACTCAAAAATTATAACAAACGATCTGTGTTTATAGTACCACAATTCAAAAGAACATAAGAAAATCCTAATTCTACCAAGTCCTATATGTACAAGGAATGAGGTACATGAAATCTTAAGGAGGCAAAAGACACTTGGTGTTCAATCTACTTCTTGTGTTATCCCCCAATTAGGTGATAGTTCCTTAGGAATTTTCTTTGGGAACACAACTTCAAAATTTCGTAGAAGAGCCTTGACTCTTCTATCCAAAGAAGAAGGAGTAGTGACAAGAGTCAAAGGACTCATATGGTATTCGAGGTATAATGGTTGGCCACTATAAAGGATTTTTTTCACATCTTGCATCTTGGTAAGAAATCTCTCCTTCTTGAGACTTAAGGCAAGCTTATAGTTGCCCTCATCTCCTCTAACTCTCTTTTTACCTTTTTCCTTCTTACTAAGCCTTTGGCCTCTTGGCAAGCCCATGGCCTCCCTTTCTTTGTCTTTTTTTAATTTCATTTTTAATTGGTCTTCCATTACTTGCTTAGGGGTTAGAGGAATCAAAGTGATCCTTTTAGACTCATGGACAAAGGTTATTTTGTTAGAAGTCCCACTGTGGATGACATTCTTGTCAAATTGCCATGGCCTTCCTAACAAAATATGGCCAGCCTCCATAGGAACTACATCACACAATACTTCATCTTTGTAATTACCTATGGAGAATCTTATTTTGGCTTTCTTATCTACTAACATCTCACCCTCTTCATTTAGCCATTGAAGTTTGTATGGCTTAGAGTGTGGGGTAGTCTCTAATTCTAGTTTCTCTGCTAGCCTCACACTAGCACAATTAGTACAACTTCCCCCATCCATAATTAGGGCACACAATTTGCCTTTCACATAGCACCTAGTGTGGAAGATTTTTTCTCTTTGAGACTCATCTAAGTCTCTCACTTGGCTATCTAAAAGCCTCCTAATGATCAAAAGGTCCCCCTCACTTCCACAAGCTTCCTCTCCACTAGTATATTTCACTCCCTCACTAGAAGAAGAAAAGGAACTAGTTCCTTCCTCTTGACTAGAGTAATGATCTTTGCCCCTACATATCATGGTTTTCTTAGTTGGTCATTGAGAAGCTATATGCCCTCTACCTAGGTACTTGAAACACTTAATGGAGGTTTTTGAACTACCTTCATTTGACTTAGGCTTGCTAACTTGGGACTTAGGGTATTTATTATCCTTTTCCCTAAAATGTGAGGTAGACTTATTTTCTTTTTGTTTATCTTTTTCACTATCCTCTTCCCTATTCCAATTACCCTTCCAACTAGAGGTTTTGCTAGGATAACTTGATGAAGAATATTTTCTATTTGACCCCTTTCTTTTTAGTTGTTGTTCTACCTTCATGGCTTGTTGTATCACATCATCTAAGTCTACATAAGGTAGTAATTCCACAACATCTCTTATTTCCCTATTCAACCCACCTAAAAATCTTACTATAGTGGCTCTTTCTTCCTCATGTATGTTGGCTCTCATAAGGTAAACTTCCATTTCTTTCCTATATTCTTCAACACTCTTGGTACCTTGAGTGAGCCTTTGGAGTTTACTCAAGAGTTCCCTTCCATAGTAAGAGGGCGCATGCCTCTTCCTAAGTAAGGCTTTAAATTCTTTCCAATCTTCAATGGGAGACATTCCTATTGCCCTTCTATCATTAGTTTGATTTGTCCACCAAAATAGGACATAATTTTGGAACCCAAGGATAGCTATTTTTACCTTTTTTTCTTCCTCAATGTTGTGGCAAATGAAGAGTTGTTCAACCTTCATTTCTCATTCCAAGTAGGCCTCTACGTCATCCTTTCCATAGAAATGAGGAACCTCTAGCTTAACTTCTTTCAACCTATCATCTCTTCTATGTCTAGTATCTTCATCTCCAACTCTATTTCTATCTCTTTCTCTATGTCTATTTCTATCACCATCTCTATCTCTATCTCTTTCTCTATCATCTTCCCTTCTTCTTCTCTCATGCCTTTCTCTTTTAGGGCTTATTTCTCTATAACTTCTTTCACTAACCCTATCCCTTCCTCTCCTTCTTTCTTCCCTATCTCTTCCATTTTGGAGATTTGATAATTCTCTCCTCATGGATTTTTTAAATAGATTTTTAAAATGACTAATTTAAGATAAGAAAAATTATTTTTTTAAAGAAAATATTAGTTTTTATAGTGATATTTTTTTAAATTATTAAAAAATAGAAATATTAATTTTTAGAGGGAGAAAAATATATAATTTATGTATTTTTTGAAAAAAAAATCAAAGAAAAGAATAGTAATAATTTTTTCAAAATATATTAGTTTTTAGAGTGAATTTGTTTATAAAATTTATACAAAAAAGAAATATAAATTTTAAAAATATTAAATTTTAGAGAAAAAATATTTAATTTTTGTATTTTTTGAAAAAAAATATAAACAAAAGATATAAAAGATAATAATGTCATTTACATTATTAATTCCTTATCACCTTCCTCTCTTCATATTAAACATCCAAATAAGGGAAGGGTATATATAAGACGATCAGCACCGAACTCAGTGAAGGAATGAATGAAATTGTTATATGACTTAGAAATTTATTTTTGGGAACTCTGATGTATTTAAATTAGTCCTATAGCCATGATTTGATTCAAACTTGTAATCCATCTTTAATTTAAAATATTTTACTAAACTTATGCATTAGGAACTTTTTGAAATGAAATTTTATTATTCTCATTTATTGTGAAATTAATTTATTTGGAAAATTAAATTAAGGTGTTACACTCCCCTCCTTCCCCCTTCAAACTCTTTCCCTTCCTCCCTCTCTAAACTCCCAAATAAAGCTTAAGTTTTTTTAGGATGGGTTGCAACCAAAGGAGGTTAATGAAACAACTATTTCACTAGTCCTTAAGATTCCTATGCTTGAAACAATTAATCACTTTCATCCTATCCTATCAATTGTTGCAACTACTTATATAAGATAATCTCTAAGATTATAGTGCTAAGACTAAAGCATTTTATGTTTGATTTAATGTCCTAGAATCAGAGTGCTTTTGTTGGTAGACATTTAATCTAATATAAATTGTTATAACTTATGAGGCCAAGATAGTCAAAATCTAGATCCTACCTATGATTGAAAGCGAAAGTATAACGTAGATCATAAGATTATAACACATACCTAATATATAAAAGTATATTTAAACACACACACACACACACACACACACATATATATATATATATATATATATATATAGTTTTAAATTCAAGCAAAACAATCATAACTTAAACATTAAAGACAATAAATAAGTTCTAAAGTTAATTATACAAAAAATTCAAAGCAATACTAATGCAAAAGAAATTAGTCAAAGTGTCCAACATCTCTATTCTATATTCTAATAAATCATTCAAGTTTTGATCATAATAATCATCTTCTATGTGCTCTTCATCTCCAGCTCCACCAAGGTCATCATTAAAAGTAAAAATATCTAAATAATTTAAATTTATAGGATCATCAGCATCATCATATTCAACTCCAACTTGGCAAGTGTTCATTTGGATTTAACTCCAAGTCAAATAAGTCATCTACTTCTAACCCATCAACATTTGACTTTTATTAACCATAATCCATGCTTAATTAGATGAAAGATCATCAAGATTAAACTTCATAGCTTTTCTAGATGTCTTTTTGATGTGATCCTAGGAGGCAGAGGATCACACATGTATACATTTTTTGTACTGACTTTGTTCATGTCTAGAATAGTTTGTTTTGGGCCTTGTATTTTGGCCATGGGCTCGGGAAGCCTATTAGGCTATGTTTCTAGGCATGTATTCAGCCCAAATCTCCATCCCGTTTCTTTTCTTTGTTTTGAGGCTCATTAGAGATCATTTTGGGCTTTGAGATAGCTTGCCTATATATAGGCTAAGCTCCTTTGTAATTTTCAGATTTTTGATTCATTTGATGCATTTTTCAGCATAGTCTCCTCTTGAGTGAGTGAGTTTTCTCTGAATTTTCTCATTGAAAATTTCAGAACCATACTCTTATCATGGATTCTTTCATGTGGTGAGGGCATTGATGCTTATCTCCAATCTTTTGGAGTGGCGGGCTGCCTTATAATTCCATTTCCTTGCTTTCCACTTGTTTTTCCTTCTTTATTTGTTGGTAGATTCATGAAACTCTCCATACATTTGCTAAAAACCATGGCTTTTGGTCATTCTTAAAGGAAGCTTCTAGAGCCTCCTCCAAGATGTATGTTTCTTGCAAATCTGAATTGATTCACTCTTGATCTTTGCAATTTAACTTTGAATTCTTTATCCACACACTTCAATCTCCCTAAATTTGTTTTGCTTTGGTGCTGATCTGTTTTTACAATTTTTGCCGCAAAAAAATTTTCAAAATTCAATCCTAGATCTACTTAGATCTATTACGAATTTGAATAATCGGTTCCAAATAAAAAATTTGAACTCAAATTATGTATGTAACTTCCTTTTTGCGTCAAAATACGTTGATTTTATCCGAATCGGCAATTGATAATTCTTACAAATTCCACCTATTCTTTAGCGTTAAAATGTTTTGCTTCTTTATGTCCGGATCTGCAATTGCAATTTTAGCAATTACGCCGATTGTTTCGTATTTCAATAAGCTTCCAAGAATTTTATTGGATAATTGATCGGTGCATTTCCAAATTGAATTCCAAGTCTGCAAAGAAAGGCAATAATTCTGATCGGTAGTCCTTTGTTTCTTTCGCAGCCAAATATTTTTGCTATTTTCGGATTTGCCATTGTAATTTCTTTAGCGTCAAATACATTCTCAGTTTATTTTGTCCAGATCTGCAATTGAATTTCCTTTAGCGTCAATTACTTTGATTGTTTTGTGTTGCAATGTGTTTAGAAGAGACTACCTACATGTTCAATCAGTTTAGATCTAAAAATTGAATTGAAATTTTGCAGGAAAAGTCATGGATTCTGCTCGGATATGTTCTGTTTTCTTTTTACCGCCAAATCTGCACACGTGTTCTTTCTTTTCGTGATTTATTTTTGTCTTTTTGCATATTGTTTGCTGAATCCTTGAGATGCAAATCTGAACAGTAAAATTGTGTTACTGCACCATTAATTTGAAGAGTTTGGATGTGTAAAATTCTGCAAGTTGTGTATCTATTTTCTTGCTGTTTTGTGTTGTTCCTCCAATGTTTTGTCATGCTTATTACTCCATGCAAGTGATCTAAATCAAAATTGGTTTGAGTTGGATGTTGTACGGGTTTCACTTAGGTGTTTTAATTAGAGATTCAAGGAAAATAATTGGAAAAAAAAAATTCCACACAAAAGTTTCTTTAATTGAATCAAAATTTGGACAAAAGCCATTGTATAGCAAAATTGAAAAGAAAAAAGTGAGGAAATCAAAGGAAAAGAGTGAGAAATACATATTGCAAATAGTACATGTTAAATCTGAAAAAAAAAATGGAAGTGTGGTTTGTTGTTGAAATGTACATGAAGGCCTACTCATGGAAGTGATTTGTGTTTTTTTTATCTAACTTGCATTCTAGAGGTTTAGGATTTCCTTTTGAGTGCTAACTTGTAAAGATGCCTTAATTCTAGCTTGTCATTATTGATTCTTGTTTATCACACTCACACAACCCCTTTGAGTTTTGAAATTCTTGTGATAACATTTGCTTGTTTGTCTTCATTGGCTTCTTTGAGTTTTGTCTACATACCTTTGTTGCCATTTCATTGGATTGTTGTTTGCATTAAGTGTTACTCACCCATGGTAGCATAATAGAAGATGAATAAGAGTTAAATGGACTCAAGTGTGTCTTAAGTATAAACACGTGAGTGAGTGGAGAGCACCCAAACATCACACACACACCCTTGATCCTACTTGGAGACTATTGGACTTGAAGACTTGTAATTTTCCTTGGAGCAAAGCCTTATAACTTGGGGGTGGAGGGGCTGTTTTGGTTTCTTTTACTCCTTGTATTTGGAGAATTATATTTGCTTGGGGTTGAGAATTTACAATTCTTGCAAGTAGATCACTTGTAGTAGGTTGAATTTTACCTTGTAAGTGGACATTGGACTTTGGTTTCTAAGTAGTTATAGGGTAATTTGTGTATAGGCCTTATTTTAAATTTTGCACACGGCTAGTACATGCTAGTTTAGGCTTGTGTGATTGATTTAAAGCTTTGCAATTAGGGTCATTGCATTTTCGAGTGTTGGACTAAGATTCCAATCCTTTCCTCCCTCCATTCTTTGCATTTCATGTTAGGATCTCGGGATGTGAAGTAAGAGTTCATACCTTTTCTACCTCATTCTAATTTTCTTAGTTTTCTTTGAGTCTAGATCCGACTAGCATTGGTATCACTTAAATTGTTTTCCTATCTTTATTTGTTTTAAATTTTTGAGTTAGGGTCTAGGATAATCATTAGAGTCCGCTTTTAGTGTTGTAACTTCGTAAAATAAAGCAAACAAAAATAGAAAGTGATAGAAGTAATAGGAGCCATAGGAATGGGGCTAAGACTTCCCTTTCACCCTATGTGGCTAATTTGATAGTTCAAATAGAATCCCCAAAATGAGAAACTCACAAAATTAAGTCTAAAAAGGTTTTGGAGGGTTTAGAAAAACTCTCTAACCCTCCCCCTCCAAATTAATTAACTATCAAACAAAAAGTAAACTCCACTAACCCCACCATTCTCGTTCCCTCCCCTCTCCTCTTAAATATAATTCTCAAACAAAGTTTAAGGATCCCTTGCATACCTCTTCCTTTATTGTATCCCAATTTTTCTGAAAAAATAACCATTAAAATCATTTGGGCTATTGCTTTAGGACTACCAAGTACAAAAACTGCCCTTTTAATCTCTACATATGAGACTAGTCTACATAATTCCTAGTTTATTAAAAATTAGGGAGAACTCTTAATTCTATAGACCTCTCAATTAAATTACAACTTTCTGAAGTAAAGATTGCCTTTAAATGGTTTAAAGCCTCTCTCTTTAACTCCTATTGACCTTCCACCAATTTTCCTTTCACATTTTTTTATCCTTTTCATTATGTTCCTGTCCCACTTTTGTACTATAGTTGCATGAAAAAAATTTGTATAATTGTCTCCCAATTTTATCCATTTGA